GAAATCGAACCTTATTTTGATGGTTTACAATCCCGTAAAAGATATGCAAAGTTTTGGGATGGAGTTAAATATGATCCTGAAGTTATAAAGTTTCAGAGTACTCAAACATCGAGGTAAAATATTGTTAGAACTTTCATATTTAGATTTTTTTTCAAACAATTCAATATTTTGAATAAATTACGATGATGGCCTTTTCTGAAGGATTAATTAATGGCAAGGGTCCTTTAGATACTTGTAAAAGTCAGCCTATATTCTATTGGACTGCACCATTGGTAAATTATTTTTATTACTGAGATAAATATTTTTATTTTATTCAATAATCCACACCATGTATAATTTTTGAATAGACCCAAGATGATACATTATATATGCACTATTCCTGTCGACGATGGAACGAGACGGTTTTGAATAATAATACAGTACTTGATGAACAGCTCCATATCTATAGTAACAAGACTCTGGCACCAATTGCCAAGCGAATGTCCGAAGAATACCATATTAGCCCACCTCTTAATTCAAGTCTAGTACCATATATCTTTGATAATTACCAATTATGCTAGCAGCTTTTGATCGAACTGACGCATGGTGTTCACTATTAAGTCCTAAAGAACTTTTATTATCACGACATTATTGGGATATAATCGATTATCATATATTATCATATGGTCAACCTCTCAATACTCGACTGGGCTGTAGATATCTTACTCAGCTTGTAAACGGAGTGGATGATTATTTAAATGGAAATTCTAGTGTGATTGCTGATTTAAAGGATGCTCATGGACGGACTATATATATCATACTTACTACATTGATTTGTGAAAATTATTCATATTTTATTATTTTTTCATGGTATTATAATATTTATTTGTTATTTACTTAATTCAGGGATTATTCAAAAATAAATACCCAATTACGGCAGATTTAACCTTTGAACAGATTAAAGAAGTTAAATATACAGAGTATAGACTTATACACTGGTCTTCTACGCTTTATTTCGAAGTTTATACGTGTTCCGATGATCACGTATTGATACGAGTATTGC